TCAATAAAATACGATAAGCACCGTATTCATAGATTCATTGTAAAATGAATCTATGTTTTACTGGCTAGTCTCTGGTTTTGCTTTACAAATAAGATAAATTATTCTAAGCATGAAAATTACAATGCTGCCAACAGATAGCAAAATTATTAAACATTGACATGTAACTCTTAAGCTACAAAAATAAAAAATTTGGTGGAAGCTGTATTGCCTCTGGTTACAAACCCTGGCAAGTTCATTCATATTAAATCTAACAAATGCTTGGCTTTTGTCCCTATTTCCACCAGTCCTCAATAAAAGAGAAAAGCTATTATATGGGACAATTCTGAATTGGGATATCATGACACGGTGCCACAGAGCTGATAATGGTGGTACCCTAGGTCACTGGAACTCCCCAGAAAAGCAGATGAAAACTTGAAGATCTAACACTATTACATCCCCATAATGTGGCCCATCCAAACCCCTTAATTTAAGTTTTGCTCCAGCTAGTGTCAATCCACTGCCATCAAGTCAATTCTGACTCTTAGTTTTCAAGGCTGTACATCTTTACTGGAGCAGATAGCCTCATCCTTCTCCCTCCAAGTGGCTGGTGGGTTTGAACTGCTAACCTTGCAGTTAGACGGTCAATGCTTATCCCATAGTATCACCAGGGCTTCTTCCAAATAGTTTATAGAGAACATCATTTTTAGTGGAGAAAAAAAAATATCTTCTGTGGGAAGAATCTTCTTTTGGAACAAGTACTTCTTACTCTTTACTTACCCTTTTTAATCAGCCAGAAAAACAAAACAAAACAAAAACTGATCGAGTAAGACTCCCTGTGTCTCCTTCTAATCTCATAGACCCATCAGGATGATGCTACATTGCAGACTGTGTAGAACAGCTATATTCACAGGCTTAGGAAGTGTTCTTCATTGGGATCCCAGTCTTTACATCCTGTATCATGTATCATCCCACAAAAAGGACTATTAAGAATCTGAGAAAGGAAGATTTGGCTCACCTTGAATCTAAGTAATGGGTAGATGTGACTCATACACAGTCTTTCCAGTTCTCTGGTAGACATAAGAGAATGGGACCAAAGCTTAAGAATGGTTCAATTACCGTAAGTTCCTTGCCTTTTCCGACAGCTAATAGCATGTGGCTTCTAGTCCTGGTGACTGGATAAGATTTCGGAATTCCAGACCTCTTCAACTTAATTCTATTTGAGACATGGCCAACAAGTACAACATTTATGACTTTGCTGTTTACAAAACCCTGTAACTGTATTAAAAGTCCAAGATGCAAGTGGATGTTCAACATAGAAAGCATTTATTATTTGTTTTTCTAGTACATCAGTAATTTAGGAAAGAATCAGATATACATTTTTAATGGCTTGAAGAAAAATTAAGCAACATCTACAACTAGACAAATTTTCAGAAATGAAACGAAAATGAACAATATGCCTTATTTGGATTTTGAAGATGAGATTCCACATCTGCACAAATTAGTATTAGAGACTCTACATTTGAATGTGCATTGAGTTTTCTTGATCATGTCTAAAAAAATTCTGAAACATCCAAATTCATTTCATATATTAAGTTAGCAATGAATAGGGAAAGAATACATTGAATGAACTTGATTTTATTCAAAGATCTGTTCAAGGCTCTAATGCTGAATGTATTTCCAGTTTACCCTTTCATGAGGCTATGCACAGAATGTCGAAGTGGTGCTGGCATTCTCCAGTGTGGTAGCCCCATTTATATACACTAAGAACTAATACACCAGATTCCTGGTGTGGCGCAGTAGGATCAGCACTGGACTGCGAATCACAAGGTTGGTAGTTCAAACCCACCAGCTGCTCCTCAAAAACTGACTCTACAGCACTTAACAACAACACTACCACACTGATCCAAATTTTAATAACTACAGATTTTGCTTTCCTATTACCCATAATTCTAAAATTTACCAAAAACTAGGTGAATTTTGGTGTCTCAAATTTCTTGAATGTTTTCAACCCGGGAGTTGTAATCTTCATGGGTATGCACACCGCCTCTTTCTCTTCCACTACGGCTAGTCTCTCTCCTTGCCTATTACAACAGTTCCCCCTAACTTGTTTTTCTCCTTTTTAGGTATTCCCTGCCCCCTCTCCTTTGTTAGTTATCATCTGGGAGAAACTAAAACTCTCTAAAATTGTTATTACTAGTAGATAATAGAGAGAAAACCTGTCACGCCTTCTGAAGATACAGAATGACAGAGGAGAAATGTTTTGTAAATCCTCAGGGGACTACTAAAAATTTTGCTTGGTTTGTTTCTTACTTCTCAACAAAGTTAGAACAAAGGCATTATCTGGTGCTTGATTTAGAACTACATGACTTGGCCTTTATGAAACTCTGTTCCCTCAACCATAAAAGGAGGTAGGTCTACCACTAACACTGCATTAACTGACTAATTGATTGATTCAAAAACTATTTATTCTCTTGATCCAAAGTACTCTTAACAAATCAAATATCTACTTATTTGGGTCCCCTGAGAACCACAGTAATAACCTGTGAGTAAATGTTCAATTAATGAAACCCTACAAACAATCCTCAGTATTAATCTTGCCTGTGGTTTTCTATTCTCTAGTTAAGCTTCCATTTCTACCACCATCACCACCTCTTTTCCACTTAAGATGGTATTTTCTTGGTAGCTTGCTAAACAAAAGGGTTTTGCTATGTTACTGAAAAGAATGAACTATAAAAAGTCATTATAGAAAGCTGAATGTAACAATGAAACGCTTTCACCCGACTTTATAACTAACAAAACGCAGTGTTTCTCTTGCCGTATGTGCATGAGGGAAACTTCCTTCTCTCAATGCATACTTATAGCTCACAACACAAATCTCAAAATTTGTGTTAGTGGAATTAGAAATTATATCTGTAACTGAATTAAAAGTAAAAACATATTCTCTTATTTTTAATATTTTATATATACCAACTTTGCAACAGAGTACATTAAGGAAGGAACTCATATTGAGTAAGCATTAAAAATTAACCAGAGTTTACTAATTCAAATTTATAATTTTAAGTCTTAAATTATTAAACAAAACATGAGTTAATCTACTTGTGATTTCTACAGTTTTCTCCTAGTTTTTAAGGGTTTGTGAACATCTTTTAATGCTATTTCCCTTAAAAGTTTGCTTCAGTCCTCAGTTTCTCTAGCAATAAAAATTCTGGGTGTATGTGTAACGATTGTATGTAGGTTATTGAAAGTCTATCTGAATTAGGACAACTCTCCTGGTAGCCAACATTAACTTGTGAGATTATTTTAAACAGATAAATTCTAGGACAGATGTGTAATATAATTAGAAACAAAATGGCATTAACTACGATTAGAGCCAAAAACTAGAGATTTGTAGCAATGCTTTCTTAAAGTCTTAAAAGTCTTTCAAAATGTTCCCTGATTACAATAGCTTTAATTTTTTCAACTAGTTGGCTACTATCATATATAAAAGATACATAAACAGTTTCTGAAAACAGGATAAAAGAGTAAGTTATTAAAACACTATTTTCTTCCAGGACACTACTTGTAACTACAAACCATATTATTCCCTATCCTATACAAACGGAAATGCTGAATGCAGGCAAGAAATCATTGGAGAGAGAATACGTCATTTACTGCAATGACCAGACCTTCTGTCCCCAACCACAGGGACCAAATGACCCAAGGGTGCGTTAATCTGTGCAGTAAACAGACTTCAAAAGATAACCACATTCACATTCTCAACTAATAGCACAGACAAAACCATTTCTTTTCTTTAAAAGACGAAAATTATTTGCATAGTAAGTACCATAATAAATAAATATTTCTAAGACACCTATTATGAGAAGCAATTCTGAAAAACATGTCTATGGCTCACAAACATTAGTCTAATCAGTTGGGAAATATTTTCTGAACTGAGATACCCTTTCTTAATGGAGAAAAAAAATTCACTGGAATTCATTTCAAAAGTTAAGGTCTTTAAAAAATCAGAAATACAAGGGACAGAGAATAATTTTATTTGCTAATTTTATTCTAAAATACAAACAAGACTTCTTAGGATTATGCCAACATATTTCCTTACACATTTATTTTTTTGTCTCCAAATTTCTAGTATGAAAGTCATAAATATTAGACTTGAAACAGCTGACATGATCAAAATTAACAGCACACAAAGGAACCTTTTTTTCCCCTGATTATCAGCTACATGAAACAAACAGTTACTAAGTACAAGGAATTTTGAATTACAAAGCTTATAAAACAGCTCTACAATTACCAAAATCTCAAAGATCAAAAAAGGCACTAGGAATTAAAAAACAAAAAGTATGGAGCAGAACACTAGCTTAACCACATGAAACAACTTGGACAAGATTCTGATATAAAAATTATAATTGAGATGAAGTTAGAATTTAGTCTAGTTAAGCCAAAATACCACCAAAAACCTATATCCTTTTCTAAATGAAATACGTTATTTCAAAAACTTTTCGGTATTTAAATTATCTGAATTTCCTTTGTCCTTTATAGAAAGAACATTCTTATACCAACAATGTGCTAGAAACGAAAAACAAATCTATGCAGGACACTGTGAGTCCATCAAGCACATGAATGACCTTTTTAGGATTCTAGAACTTAGAATTGCTTCAATCAAACAGACAGAAAAAAAAAAAAAAAATCAAAGCTTCCATCTTTGGGGGAATTGAATGAATTGAATGAAGTGAGCAAAAAGCAAGAAGAGAAAGTAAACAGCTTTTCAGACCAAAACATCAGTGTCCAAATCATTTTAAGTGGCTAACTCTTGTAAAACAATTAGTGAGGCTTTCTTTATTCCATTTATATGGTATTGTGTCATCTTTAAAAGTTATCATGATCTTTTTAAAAACTCTCCTTTCTTAGGGAACAATTATGATGAGGGTACTTAAAGCAGCCTGTTAGCAAAGGATGAGAAATGCCAGAATTTGTCCAAGTGTGACAAGTATTAGAATAATGAGAGGTTTGAAAGTTAACAGTGGAAAATAATTTTCAGGTCCCGAATTCATAATTAACTAATACAATTAACCTTAAACAAATTAGCAAAAACCCATGATTAATAAAATCTGTTCACTTTGTATAAGTAACTCTAACATGATCATGAAGGAGTGAAATTTTGGGGGTACACACCTTAGAACCTAAGCAAGAGCTCCCAGCTACAAGATTAGTATACAGTATTTTACTTTAATAGATTCTGCAGCATGGCTGTTGCATACGTGGGCCTAGCCTGCTTGCTCTCAATCGCATTCTGAAGATACTGGATGCCTCCACAGCGTTCCCAAATTTCTTCAAACTGTCTTGGCAAAATCTCAGCACCACGCTTTCGCGTGAGGCCTGTCTCATCAAGATTCAGCTCACACATCTCCATGTCATCCTTACCTGCAAGTATGAGATACCACAAAATTACATGTCTTTTCAGAATAATTTCTTATAAACTTTATTCCTGAAATACTATCAATTCCCATAGATTTAAGAGCTCTTCGTCTTTAACTTTTAATACTTTATTTTCTCTAAGATCTATTATCTGCTAATAATTTAATTTGTTCCCCACCAATGACCCTTCAAAATTTACGAATACTGCAGTTGATCAAAGAACTTATTGGGGTTAACAGAAAAAAAATTCTACATTCCACCAAGTCATTACTAATTAATTGATATAATTAATAGCAATGCAACAGCTCTTAGGACATAGACAGGTGTTGACATTCTTTATAAGGGCATGATGAGTTCAAGCATTTTCCCATTATAAATCAGTTAATACTGAATTAACTGGAGATATGATTTAACTGTAAAATACCATTCTTTCAACCTGGAAACTGAATGAATTATTATACATATATATTATCATGTTTCATTTGAAGAGTTTATGTTGTTGTTAAGTACCATTGAATTGGTTCTGGCCCATAGCGACCCTGTATAGGGTTTTTGAGGAACAGCTGGTGAGCTTGAACTGCTGATCTTGCAGTTCGAACTGACTTTGCAGTCCAGCGCGTTAACCCACAGCACCACATAATCCATGTTTAGTTCATAAATTATTTTTATGTGAATCATACACACCGGCTACAAGAAGGATGGGTGGCTTGTCAGGATGGAGTTCCATTTGCCTAGCAATCCAGGGTCCATCAAAATGGGCGTACCACCAGCCTTTTTTGTTACTCTGTGGGTCTTTGTACTGCTCAGCAGGGCGGATGAATGGGATGCGGAAGAAGCGCTGCTGCCGGTTCATTTCCATCTGCTGCCTGGCAGGAAGCTGAACTGATGGGTTCTGCTGAGCTGTTATGTAGAACAAGAAAAGTTACACTAGCAGCCTGAGGGACAAAGAAAATAGCCTTTAATCCTAAAATGCACCAAGAAAAAAAATATTTTACGGGAAAGATTTTGAATGGTAAATTTAAAACAACCGTATCATTTTTTTCCCATAAAGATGTTCCCTGGCATTACAAACACACCCTTACTCACTCACACATCACACACATACACAGCAACCACCACTACAACTAAACCCATGACAGGTTCCCACAAAGGTGCAGCAGTAACATAAAATAAGCTCATGTGGCAAAATAGAAAACTTGTACTATTTACTACTCTACAGGTTCTCTCCAAAGAATTCAAATCAAAGTTGTGGAATAGCTGTTATTGGATTAATTATGATAAAACAAATGAACAGTAAGTTCAAAAATATTAAAGATATAAATATTTATAATGTAACTACAATTTCCACCCAAAAAAAACAGAAAACACATAACATTTTTTATTTACCAATTAATTGTGTGATTTAAAATGTTCAACCTAATGTAAATATTTTATTGATGCAATTTAGACAAACTAATGGCAAAAGCAATTAACACTAAGCATGAACATTCCCTCTGAAGATATTTACTTACTCTAAAATCAACTTTTTCTTGGAATAAAATCCATTTAAATAAGTGGAAAGTGTGTATTATTTAGTTTTCTTTGACAATAGAAAGGTCCTTGTTTTTCTAATACCGTGAACTGCTCTCATATCAATCTTTCTTCCACTGCTCAATTTTCATTACTGAATAATTCAGTTTTTATTTTATCTGCAAATGCAAATATTTTCCTGGGGCAATGACTTTACATCTTTCGCAGCATATTTTTGTAAACCTGCTTAATATGCTTTATACTTGTATACCTTTAAAAGTAGAACCACCATTTACTGGAGTTCAATTAAGAATCTCATTGTGAAAAGTTAAGTATGTCAATTTAAAAAAATTATATATACATGTCAATAACAGGTGCATAACTTTTGTGACAATTTGTAATGCTGAAAGGATGAAAATACTCTTATTCTATTTTTTATACCAAGAAATAGCAAAAACTTGATTGCAGTGGAATATCTTTGCAAACCACAGAAAGCAAAAAGTAGTAAATAAAGCTATTTGCCCATGAAGGAATGAAACCCAGGCCCAGCTTTGTTAGTGCCTTTAAAAAGTCCCATCGCCATTAGCATATTAACAGATGTGCCTTTTTATTTATTCCTGTCCCCTCAAAGTGACTTACAGGTAAGTCTTTCTATTTCAAGTCTTTTAATTTTAAGCTAGTGTATTTTGCAGAAAAATACACTAACTCAATAATCAAGTTGGAACAAAAGTGTGAACAAAATAAATAAAACCTTCCCCCCATCTTTCAGTAGTGATTTGGAATCTTATGTCCAGTTGAGAGGACACTTACAAGGATACTGATTGATGGTCACCATCCATTATTTAATACTGCTCTTTTGCTTTTATAACTGAAAGGCATATAGAAAATAACAGCCTTCTGTAACTTAGATATATTGGGTAAAAGTAAGAAACTAAACAAGAAGCCTGTGGTAGCTGTTTCACCAGGTGTGAGAACTAAAATTGTCTTGGGGAGGCCTGGAAACTAATATCCATCTAGAAACATAAAAAGATACAGACGTTAAGAGCTCTAAATTAAACTTGTAAGTTGTTCCTTTCAACTTTCAGTAGAGTTGTCTTCAAAAGTGTGAAATAAGTTTCAAATGAGCACTCTGAATTACATGTAATAAATTTAAAAAACAATAAAAACTGCCAACTAGTTGGTAAATTAATATGGCGTTATACGCCAATCACTGTTGCTTAACTAACTGTAGAAAATATACTACATACTAAGGTGACTCAAAGGAGCTCTGGTAACATAGTGGTTACAAGCTGGGCTGCTAACGTCAAGGTCAGCAGTTCCAAACTACCAAATGTTCCACGGGAGAAAGATGAGGCTTTCTGCTCCTGTAAAGATTTACAGACTCAGAAACCCTATGCAGGGTCACTATGAGTCGAAACCGACCCCAAGGTACTAACAGCAACAGCAAGATGACTCAGGTAGTCCAGGTGTGGCATTGCAGGATAAGCACTAGATTGCTAAGCACAGGTCTGTGGTTCAAACCCACCAGCCACTCCTTAGTAACCCTATACAAGGTCACTATGAGTCAGTACCATCACAAAGGCACTTAACAATAATAACAATGTGATTCAGGAGTTTGGGTATGTGCTGTAGGATAAGCACTAGACTGCTAACCGCAAGGTGGGTGATTCAAGCCCACTGGCCATTCCTTGGAAACCCTATAAAGGGTTGCTCTGAATTGGAACTGACTTCAAAGTACTTAACAACAACAACACAGTAACTCAAAGAATCCTGTTAAAGTCAGTAATGCACTTTGGAGCATGTTGTTCTGCTAAGGTTGGAGGCTCAAACCCACTAGCTAAAAGTTGTGGCAGTCTGCTTCCCTACGGACTTACAGTTTGGAAACCCTATGGGACAGTTCTACACTGTCCTATAGGGTCTCTATGAGTCAGAATGAATTCAGTGGCAATGAGTTTGTTTTTAAACGATCAAATATAGCATGATTGTGGTGGTGGTTAAGGGCCGTTGAGTCGATCCCGACCCATAGCGACCCTGTATAGAGTTTCCGAGGAGCAGGTGGTGAGCTTGAACTGACGACTTTGCAGCTCAAAGGGCTTTGCAGTCTGGCACATTAACCCACAACGCGACATATAAAAGTAACAGAGTAATTGTCGGTTTCTTTGTTGTTGCTGTTAAGTGCCGCCAAGTCAGTTCCTACTCATAGGGACCTGGCATTGGATTTCTGATGAGCAGCTAGTGAGTTTAAACTGCTGACCTTGCAGCTCAAATGAACCTTGCGGGCCAGTGCTTATCCTACAGCACCACACCAGGACCCCTATTCCCTTTTAGGGGGTATCATCTTAACCTTGTGAACATTATCACACAAAACTGAAATCTCTTTGGACAAAAATGAATGCACTATCAATGTGTGAAACCAACACCTAGAGTTAGTCTTTGTTTTAAAAGATCAGCTGCTTCACTAAGATAGTTTTGCTACAATACGAATGGTGCATAATCACAGTTTTAAGTGTTTTTTTTTTAAGTAATTTGATAAGATAATGTATTAATTAAATTAGATTCATTTTTACATAGATAAATATTTAGGAGAGTTTTAATGTGATTTAATAAAAGCAACTTCTCAAATCAAAATATATTTGAGTACACATGAAACAACATTAATGTTTTATATTTTAAATTGTAGCAAAACAATGTTTAATAGATGTTAGTAATTTATAAAGTATTTTTAACCCATCTTCCAGTTAGCTCATGAGTTACCACCCTTTGACTTACGTGAATTGTTCAAAAATGGCGCAAAATCTGTGAACAAATATTTTATGTTGAAAAGACAAAACTGTCAAAATTGCTAACTGAGCATTATTCTAATTTATAAAGCTTTCCCATCAATAGAGGTGGTGACCAACAAGTAACTATTCAATCTACAAGCCAAATACGCTCCCAAGTAACTACAAGTAGATGCTGCTTTCTGATTCTTTAAAGCTATTTAATTATGGTTTTGAAAATTCTGCTTGATATACATATGAACGAGATCAAAATTTTAGTTATATTTAACTTTCATTTTGTAACATAGTAATATCTAAAACAAAATCTTGATTTAATAGTAAACATTATAGTATCTTTGAAACATCACTGGAATTTTCAAAGGAAAAAAAGATAATAACTTCTAAACACATCAGAAAATTATAATTATTTAGACAATAAAAATCACTGCTACTTTTTCATGACATACACTCTATATGTTTTAATTCTGTCAAATAGCTAAATCTTAAACTCAAGACTTTTTATTTTAGGAACTGTAAAATAAAAGTACTTTTCAAAATCCTGGTTTTAAACAATTAAATACACCTAGGAGTCCTGTTGTGGTGCTGTGGGTTAATGCGCCAGACTGCAAAGCCGTATGAACTGCAAGGTCGGCAGTTCAAGCTCAACAGTCACTCCTCAGAAACCCTATACAGGTCGCTATGGGTCGGAACCGACTCGACGGTACTTACCAACAACAACTCCTCACTTATCGATGGACATAGTTAGATTCCAAAGTCTAGGTCATTATGTAAACAGCAGTGTTATGTGAAAATGGGAGGACTACAGCACATCACACAATGGAAGATGGGTACACCATTATATAACTGCCACACTACTGAGAATCGCAGCCCAGTCACTCTGACACATAACCTTACCCCTCACAACCAAGGTGACTCTTGCCTCACACCTCAGCATTCATTACTACCAGATGTACATCATTAATAATCGGACAGATTCTTTTAATATCATAAATACAAAATGTTGGATAAAAAGAAATTCGATAAATGAGAAGTAGGTTTAAATTATGTTTAAAAATTCCCTCTGGAGACTTTGTTCTACCGTAAATGAGAATATGCTCAACTATTGAAGTAGAAAGAGGGCTGGAGATCCCTTACTCATGATTATTTGTCAAAATAGTACTCTTAAAGTCAGTCATTATCAATCTATATTTTTGCTAATTGAAAGTTGGCATTATTTTATTTTCTCAAAGGTATTGAATTCTAGTCCATCTAAGCATTAGACTACATTGAAGTTCCTTTTAAAGGGTGACTCGCTGTCCCGTTAAGAAATGATACAGGTGAAAGAATTTTACATGAAATATATATATGTATATATATACATATACATACACACACATATAAACAATTATTTTTCAGAGTAGAAGTTACATTTATTCTGAAAATAGTCCATAATCAAATTCTCTCAAGGGTAAATAGATATGGATTGTATACAAATATTCACACATCATTCCTAAATATTTTCATACACCTGGATGGAACACTCAGAAAATTTTATTAACCTACTCTTGTGTTCTTTCAAATAATATATTTTGATCAGAAACAGTATTATGAGCCAGCAAGATGAGTCATGCATTATTGTTCCTTTTTGAGGGAAGCTGGATGAGTAAGGTATCAATAATTTTTAAATACCACTAATCTTTGTATCATAATTTAAAATGTGTATGACAAATGTGACAGCATTAGTTTTCTAAAGAATGCAATAATTCAGATGTATAAATTTGCATAATGCAAGTCAGCCAGGAAAAGGTAGCAATTAGAACATTACAATTAAAAACAATAACACTTTATTGCCATTTTTGGAGTCATGAAATGGCAATGCGGGTTAATGTGCTGGAAAACAAGATCAGTTTGAACTGCAAAGGTGGCGGTTCAAGCTCACCAGCCACTCCTCAGAAACCCTATACAGAGTTGCTGTAAGTCAGAACCAACTTGACGGCACTTAACTACAACAACATTGCCATGTTTACTAAACAAAGGTAACTTAGTGCACAGACAGATAGGAACAAGAAATGGAAAAGCCCTATCATTTTCAATTCACAGTGGTAAATGTTTTAACTTGAGAAGAAAGCAGCAGTCACCTCTAAAGATTAATATTTAGAGAGTTTTCCACTGACGGTTTTTGAGACTGTCAAAATTTATCAATACAGATTGCTGTATTCTGACTGATGATACCCACCGAGCAACCACTGACATTAATGTCTCCCTTATTAATGACAACACTTTCCTCACTCAATCTATTCTTTCCAACAACTCAGAAGTACTAATATTTCACTATTTGATTGACTTTTATTCAAATATTATTTACTTGGAAAGTAGTGAGAGAAGCAAAAAGTAACCAAGTTCTTGTTTCCTAAGTTGGCTTGGATCAGACTTTGCTAATTCTGTTGTCAAGTATTTGGAATATATCCCTTAAATAATAACACCAAAAAGACATTCAATCTGCTATTACCTTAACATACCCAGAATTGCAATAATTTAAAAGTAGTACGTTGAACAAATTCTAAGCATTGCTTTCAAAATGAAAATTATTACTCATACATAACAGGCAATTTTCAATTGATGCTTAAGTTAATATACGCTCCACTAGGTTAGAAATACCCTGCTCTGTTTTCAATTTCAAGTATATCACCAACTTTGCTTTTTACAACACAAAGAAACAAACTCTGTTTTTAGGGCCCCAGTTAGAAATTCAAGTCCTGGTCTAGGTAAAACCTCTGGTATCAACCCAGGTGGCATTTTTACTGTTTCACTGTGAGAACATTCTAAAAGAATATTTGTGGTAAATAGTTTCTTTTCTAAACAAATGAATTTTAATCTTAATGAAGAACACATAAACCAAATTAGTTTCTTCTTCTAGGCTACAATCCTACTCTGAAAGGAAAAGGAAGGCATTTAGCTCTACGTATAAAAAAGATAACATTTGGGTATCTCAGAGAAATAATCCTAAGAACTGAATGACATTTTTGCAAAGAAGATAAAATGTTTTAAGTAAGATCTTTCTTGGTAAGTTTTTTTTTTTTTTTATTTTTTTAAGTATTTAAAAAAATATTTATTTTCATACACAAACAAAATTAATTTCCTATGTTAAGCAGAAGATTCATAGTAATCTTTATATTTTCAAATGTACTCTTCATATATTTGCATATGTTGTTGTTAAGTGCCTTCGAGCCAGTTCCGACTCATAGTGACCCTGTATATGGCTTCTCAGGAGCGGCTAGTAGGTTTGAACCACCCACCTTGCAGTTAAGCTAGCAGTCTAGTGCTTATCTAGAGTGTCACACCAGGACTCCTATGTGTGTATATGTAAAAAAAACTATGTGTTCACAGCAGTACTTCTCAGCCTCTTTGGTAGATAAGAACATTCTTACCTCTAGAATTTATTATAACAAATAAATTCAGTATTTTCCAACAGATATGGCATATACTATTGAATATTCAAATGCATATTCCAAAGAACTAATGCTTATAAAAATAGGTTATTATAGTTGTGTTTGTTTCAGTGAGTCACAGTTCTGCAGTAAGAGAAAATTTATATGGACACTTGACCCAAATGTCTTATTGTAAGTTACATGCTTTTATATGCATATACTTTGGAACATTTAAAAATACAGTTGGTTTTTTTTACCATAGTCAGTAACAGACTTTGGAGCGCGTTGCTCCGTTTCAGTATTTCTCTTCTTGTTCTTGGATTTCCACGCATGATACACTTTTAGTCTCCTATGAAATTCTTCTCTGCAAGCTGCCAGGAGCTCAATATCTATTATTTACACGAGAGAAGAGAGAAAAAAGTCAATATTTTAACTAAATCACCTCACATTAACTATTCTGTGGCATAAATGTTTTTATATTTAAATTAATAGTATAAAATCAAAGGTAAACTAATTGTTGACAGAGATGAGCAGTAGAGGTGGTAATCTCTTTCTTCTTTTTATTGTATGTAACAGCATTTCCTCTTCTGCCTTTAACTCTAGCACTCCTCCCAGTGTCTTCTGCTGCCTCCATCGTTTTCTTTGCCACCTCCTGTATTATAGTTTAGTAATATTATCTTTTATTTTTTTAGGGCATTTTTAAATTCATTATTACAATCTTCTATAATTTGCTCCATAAATAAACCCTGGGCTAAATAGGTCTTTTACAAATGAGAAAATTGAATCAGAAAGGTTAAGTGACTTCTCTAAGGCCACAGGACTTGGCAACAGAATAAAAAGTCAGTGTGATCAAATACAAGCTATATCTATGTTGTTATTGTTGCTTGCAATTATCTAGATGCATTCAATGAGGAAGGATGAAACACAGTGAAGAATTCAACACAACTATGGGTTAATGCATTGAACTGCAAAGTCAGTTTGAATCGTAAGGTCAGTGGTTCAAGGTTACCAGTTGCTCCTTAGCAACCCTATATAGGGTGGCTATGGGTCGGAATTGACTCAATGGCACTTAACGACAACACTTTAGTTCCTAGTCACAGTGTGTTGAATTAAAATACTGTGATATAAGCAGGAAAACAACTATGTGGGATCTTCTGGACATGATATTTTACTCTATTTGTTTTCTTGGAAGAAAAATTGCTTTACCAAAAAAGGACTACCGCTGTCATTTGCTACTCTGCATTCATGGACCGAAATATTCAGATATTAAATATTTAGCTATCATGAATAACATTAGAAGGACCAATCATTAATATAACCCAAACCATGATTAGTCTTTGCTCTTCCTCTCAAATATAAGCAAGAGATAAGCAAAATACACTTAATGAGCAGGTCTTTCTTTTAGCATTGTGAATAAGCTAGATCTTCATTCTAAAAGGAGAATAACAAACTGGCTTAAACTATTTCAGACAATAACAAACATGACAGTCTCCCAGCCCCCAGTTATTTGCCTTATCATCTCTGGATCCTTCCCACTGAAATCCTCTCCATTCACTCACCACAGGAAGTATTGATGGTATCACGTAGTTCTGCGTATTTCCATTTACTGAGATCATGTTTCTTGGTACCAGCAGCTGCCTTGGTGGCTTGTACAGCAGGACCTCTGCAATTATTATATAGTTTTACACATTTAAACTACAAACATGAATGAAATGTTGACTACAGAGGCAAGAAAGTGAGTATAAATTTGGGAAATGGAAATAGCTATTAAAAAAACATAGAACCATTTTTGTTTCCTTAACAGATGAGAATAAAGAATGCTACTTTAAAAAAATGACTTTTTGTAAATTAAAATTTTCCACATGCTTTTTAATGGCTATGTTGTTGTTGTCAAGTGCGATAGAGCCAGTTACAACTCATAGCAACCCTGTATAGGGTTGTTCCAAGGAGCGGATGGTGAGTTTGAACTGCTGACCTTGCAGTTCACAGCAACCTTGCGATCGAGTGCTTAGCCTACAGCACCATACCAGGACACCGTTTAACAGCTATGTTCAGTTTCAAGTGAGAAATTTTTATTCCAATATTCTGCTTAAATGTTATTACTGATACTGATGGATCAATGAACATCTGAAGTTAAAAAATAAATTAATATATATTTCTGAAAATCAAAAGATTTTTAGAAGCACATTAATTAAGAGCCACTAGGGCACATAGCACACCCATCCACAGAGCCCACTGAAATCTACAGATAGCCAAGCCACAGCCACAGCCATTGGCTCAGAATCTCCTGGGTCCATAAATGTTTGTACAGTCTACAGGTAAGTCATTAAAGAAAAGCTAAAGGGACTACTGGAGACTTAAAAATCCTGTGACTTTGTAATCTCACTGTGAGAACTTAGAAAAGTTCTATAAGCAGATAAAAACACATCTTCACATTGAGTGAGTAGTGATATGTTATTATTACTAGTAAATTACAGGGGAAAGTTTCAGGGCATGAGGCAGAAACAGAAATTTCAAAGGGGAAAAGTGTCACATCTTGTCCCGTTTAATAAAAATAGCTGTGTGGGGAAAGAGAAGGGAAAACAAAGCACACACTAAAATGGAATAAACTCAACTGCTTCATAACAGTGCCACTTAGTATTAAGGTTGGTTTTATAGACATAATTTGAGAAATTTCTTTGGGAAATAGGGGAACAACTTATTTTCTGTAATACTGAACATTATTTTTCAACAAAGGGTTACACTTTCGCATAGAAAACACTCAAAAGAATAAGTTCCAAACAGATAAATCATATTTCAAAACATGAAAATATGGCCCAAATATTAAAGAAATATTGCTTCTCAGTCATCACACAAGGAATTTCTCCTTTACCATATACTAATTGGAACACATATCCTGTTAAAGAGGGATAGTCAAGATAAGAGTATCAGAAAATTAGCTCACTTATCCATATACTTTATTGTCATTTTACATTTTGGGAGGGGGAAAAAAGCATTCCTGGCACACTATTAAGACACAGATGTTTAGTGAGACTGATGTTACTGAAAAATGTTTGAAAATATACAACTTTCTTCCTGAAGTTAAGAAAATCATTCCTTCAACATTAAGCTTAGCAATGAAAACAGCATGTTTGGATGCTGCTGTTACTGTTAAGTGTTGTGAAGTTGGTTTTGACTCATGGTGGCCCTTTACTGGGTTTCCGGAGAGCAGCTGGTGGGTTTGAACCACAAATCTTGTGGTCTGAAGAACAGTGCTTATCTTACAGCACCACACCAGGAGTCCATGCTGTCATTTTAGAAAATTAAAAAACAGTATATTCTGCTTACATAATTAAAAACTGTTATGCATGGCATTGTTCATCACATATAAGACTGGCAAAAGAATGATGTATGGCCATTTAGTACTTCCTCCATTTTTATGGTTATAATCTGTTTTAGGGTTATTGTACAATCTACTTTCCAGAAGCTTGTCACTAGAGATTTTCCAAGTAGCTTTTTATTCTTAACTGCTTTGCTCAAAATGAGCCAGCTGTGTGTCAGCAAGGTCTATTAGCCTTAACAATAAATTATGCTTAACATTTATTCAAATACTCTTTTTATCTTTTCTGCATTCCTAAACCACCATTCAATAAAGTAACAAAAAAAAATTCTGCTGCTTTCTAGCATTTTCAAGAACCGTTTCTAAGAGAACAGCTGAAAATTATTACAGCTTGTCTTTTCTTTTGAAAAAGGAAGTAAATCAACATAAGCAGTTTTATAGATTGGCAGAATATATATGTGTTCTGATACTTTCAAAATATAACAATGAATTTCAATTATGTTTCTTAAAATATACTTTTAATATTATTAACTTTTTATTCATACTGTATCAAACAAAAAACATACTTGCTTAAAATAACATTTGCAGCATCCTGAGAAGTACATGAACACAATGCATTTAAATAGTAAAATAAAGGTGCAATTTACTAATTATTTAGACTGATTATAAAGGCAATCATGTAGATGAGAGAATATAGTAGTGGTAAGAATAACTTCTAACTTAAAAAAAATGTATTAATTTAATATTTTAGTTACTTTTGCAACTTTAAAATTGACAGTTAAAATGTTACTGATTCATATTCATTTATAAAGGTAATGGACCAGACCCTGATGGGCTGATATTCCTTGGAGGCTTACTTGTTACACCAGTGGTTTTTAAATGGTGTGTTATGGTGCAAAGCCTCTTAGGAACCACGCTTCTCCTGTTCATCCCCTGCAACCAGATACAGTGGTCTCAATAAAGGGGTGAGCAGGTGGTATGGAATACAACCCTGATACTATCAGAGAAGGTGAAAATCATCATAGTGTCCATGGTAGCAGTGGTAACACCAAAGGAAGGGGGTGCAGGAGACACCATGGCAGTGGAGTCATTATGGCTGGTGTTACTGCACACAAACAAACACATGTCAGGGCTGGTGTTACTACACACACAAACACACACACATGTCAGGGCATAGGACGTTGCACTGTGGGCATAGATGCAGGTCTCTGGTCTTGGCCAGTCAGAGAGAGAGGCACCATGCAACCCTCGACTCGCTCCAGTAATCATCAAGACAGTACAAACAAGGAATGATTGTTCCATCCAAAATGCCAACGGTGTATCCTTGTTGAGAAATACTGATTTAAAGGAACACCTTTTTTTATCTTGTTCTGTGTTGAGTAGGATGAAACGGGAGTGATATTTTCCATACAGAAAATTTACATAACAGATATACATATATCAAGTTCTGGTCCAAGTAATCAAAAGTAATTTAAAAATATGATTTTCAAGAGTTCATTTATTTCCCAAATGACACTGCACTAACCTATTCAAAAGTTCAGACATTTCTTTGGCCATTTGTTCCCTACAAAAAAAAAAAATATATATATATATATATATATAAAACATATCAAATTTACATAAAATATAAATGACTTTCAAGTGCTAGTATCTTCAACAGGATGACTGATTTATTGTTGCTGTTAAAGTGTCGAGTCAGTTCCAACTCACAGCAACCATGTATAAGGTTTCCACTAACCTTCCAGTTCAAACTGACCTTGATTTATCAGTCATTCAAAATTATTGTACTCTGTAAAATCTATGATACAAAATGCAGCAAACTCTTTATTTTATCCAACTGAAGTTATTTGAACGTATCTCCATTTTAACAGCAAGAAGATTTTAGATAAAATCTTCGGAGAGTGAAGCTTTTTAGTATTTTTATTATAGAATATAGACAGCATTTTCTAATTTCGTATTACATCTGGAAACCAGGAAGCATATACACTCTGTACAAGGATCCTTGAACTGGAGTTGCTTAGTAAATATTCATTAGACAAGGCATAAAGGTGATACACCAAACTGATATATTTTAAAGTATTAAAGATTAAATAAGATTCTGATTAATTGAAAACTCTAACATTCTATACCAAAGCATGCTTAAGAGCAATACAAGTGCATGAAGTTCTTCTTAAATTAGAAATCTGAAACATTCTGACCTTACAAGCCATATTTCCCAAAGGCAAAAACCTATTTTTCTTTTATTACCCAGTAGAATATAACATTTCTCAATATTTGCTTAATTCTCTGGAATGAACTAGAAGTTTCATTTTCATTAACACTTCATTAACTTCCTTATATTTTCTTCCTTAGCATAATTAGTCATTTTCTTACAAATTCTATTTATCAGATAACCTCAAAACATTACAAATCAGTTAAAATCATAAAAAAAGAGATGAGTAAATTTGCTCCAGGACCCATTACAGTTCACTGGATGCCTGCCACTAACTGGGACCCAGATTATGAAGGAGGAGAGGGTTCCTGTATGCCAATTTCCTTGTAAAAATGGACATTGGCTACAATTAAGGATTGTCAGAGGTCTATCCAAGCAAACAAAGAGAAAAAGAAAATTCTAAAGTTGGTAATGGAAGAAAACAAAGACAAAATAAAATACACAATTATAATTGAACAAAAATGGTCTTTTGATCACAAGTGTATAAATCTCTCCTTAAACTAATAGTTTCTGAGAATTTTCTAACTTCCAAACTCAAGAGTAACTCTGTTCAAGATTTTCAGTGTTATTATTATCATCCCACCTCACAATGTCAGTCTCAGTGTCAAGAGCATCTCTGAGAATGAACAAGATGGCGGATCGGGTGGACGTATAGCAGAGAGCTCCGCCAACAACAACACAGAATACCCGA